AGACAGACAGACAGACAGACAGACAGACAGACAGACAGACAGACAGACAGACAGACAGACAGACAGACAGACAGACAGACAGACCCACAGACAGACAGACAGACAGACAGACAGACAGACAGACAGAACAGACACACACGGACAGACAGACATAGACAGATACTATATATAGAGATGGATGTTACTCACACATGCGCATCATCATGTGCGCGTGTCTAATATACACACAAAATCACACAAATATACAGATCTACATTTGCACATCAGCTTTTAGAGCGAGGAGCCTTTTCTGGAGTGACTCACGCCGGTCACCGTTGTGCTGCATCCGTGGGGAATGACGACTGTTCAGACATTTTCATCAAGGTCCTCCATCCGCCCTGACTCGTATGATGCGTCTATAGTCGATGTACCATCTGAATATGCAAACAGCTTTTTCCGTTATTTGTTTTCGTCCTTCTGTTCGTGGCAAACCATGCAGACCTACACCTAGCTGGCTACTTGGGCCCCACAACTACCCTCTACTGTATTCTACCCTAGATACCCACTATTAGGCCTTACTCACGTCCTAAAGAAGCCCGATATCGGCCCCTAAACCTTAAACCTTAAACCCTAAACCCTAAACCCCAAATCCTAAACCCTAAACCCTGAACCCTAAACCTTAAACCCCAAATCCTTGAACCAGTATCGTTCATGCCAGGCTTCTGCAGACCGCCAGAGCGACTCCGGTGTGGCGGCCTTGAGTTTTGTTTAGGGTTTGGGGTTCCGATTTTGGGGCCTCAGTGACTGCTAGTGGGTTTAGGGCTTTAGGGGGTTTAGGGTTTAGGGTTGTAGGGCTGAGGGTTTAGGGTTTACTATAGTTGGTAAAGATGTTTTCTTCATAGTTTGTAGATACTAATACTTCGTAGCAGTACCTCAAAAGCCTACTCTCGTTATTAAGGTGCCTATTCTAGATTTGTCTTGAGACCGGCAGACTTAGCAAGAGGAGTGATAAGCCTGCTTTACAATCGGTTTTTGTTTGTCTGAACAGGCTTTATGAGGTTCTATACGGTCTTCCAAGACGCCCTTGCTTACTTTCTGGGATTTCCTTTTTGGGGTTATGGCTTCATGTTAAAGTGATCTCCCAAGACATAGTTTTGGCGTAGCCTCCAAAGGGAGTTTAGCATAGCCACCCGTACTTCTAGTCCTGGCAAGTACACCCTCAATACCCTAATTCTTAATCCTAGAGACGTACCGCAGAGGGGCTTGGGAGCAGGATATCGAAGTAACCATCGGCTGGAAGACTCCGTGCCCTCTCTGCTGAGTTTGCCTTCAGCAGTGACCATCCTGACTGCGTGCGCTGGCTCAGATCGATCTGCAGCATGATTTGAGGAGGATGCGCCGGAAGACGCGGCGCAATCCTCGTCGAATCGTTTCCTCCTAGCATCAGCGGGGATCTAGCGATCATTTAACCGTCGTACAACCAACTCAGCGTTGGACCGTGATCTTCAAAAGCCTTCATAGAAGGCCTTGTTTACTGGAGTTGTAGATCTGATTCGGTTAATTTTTATACGTTTTCCTACTCTACGATGTCGCACGTGGGGTTTGCCTAGCCATAGAGACGCCAATAGCACCCCGAACTGTTCAACAAACCCAGCTAGAGAGAAATTGCACGCACCTTGAGCACTTCAGCCGACCCTGCAGCAGCCCTCAACCCCTACTTTCTCGGGGTATCAAGCTCGCGAAAGCAAAGCAGCCAGACTTTCGCTTGCTTTTTGACTTGCTTGGCCTTGGAAGGCCTCGTTTCTGTAGGAGCCTCTGCGGCAGTTGCCGATGCAAAAAGCTCTCGATGGCAGCTTCAGCGACTGCGAATTCCGTTGGGAAGACGGGCGCTGTGTGAAAGCGCACTTGGCCTACCTCTCGCGGAACCAGACATTCCGAGAGGCTGCAGCCCCGAAAGTTGTGCCGGTGCCCAGCGAGGTGTGGGTTTCGGCAAACTATTGTAGGGGGCCTAAATGATTACCAATACTATTTTGGGGTTCCTGATTACAAGTACAGTATATTGGGCCACAAAAACTTGTTCCAATCATTAAGGCCCCTATAATGCCTTACGCAGGAGTCCTTGTAATGGTTTAGCACCCTACTATCCAAAGGTTCATTTGTGATGAGGATCCTACAATTTAGGTGTTCTCATTTCGCTAGGATCCTACAATTTAATCCTACGATTTGGGGATGCTAAGGCTCCCACTAGTTAGGTGCGTTGTTATGTTCCTAAACCCTAAACCCTAAACCCTAAACCTTGTCTTCTGGACTCCCAGGTGTCCGAGAGAGTTCTGCAGGCCCTGTTGGACACACACTACGCCTGCAGCTCCAGCGCTGCGGTGCAGTTTCACCCAGATGACAGCCCGGCGGAACCTGGGCTTTCGGATCCGGTTCAGGGGTTAGAGGGTTTAGGGTTCAGGGTTTAGGGTTCAGGGTTTAGGGTTTAGGGTTTAGGGTTTAGGGTTCAGGGTTTAGGGTTTATAGGGTTTAGGGTTCAGAGTTCGGGGTTTAGGGTTTATAGGGTTTAGGGTTTGGGGTTCGGGGTTTAGGATTTATAGGGTTTAGGGTTTTGGGGTTCGGGGTTTAGGGTTTGTACGGTAAAGGGTGTAGGGTTTAGCCTTCAGGGTGTATAGGGTTCAGAGCGCTTTGGACAGGGCCCAGGATAAAATTGGAGCCTGATTACGAAACCTTGGGTCTTTATTCGGGTTCTTTACACGGATCCNNTTTGGGTTATAGGGCCAGGGTTTCGTTAATCAGCTTTCTGCATTATCGCGTTTGGGGTTGAGGGTTATGGCTTGGGGTCTGGGTTTAGGGTTGATCCAAAAAGCATTCCACGAACATAAATAGCAAGAACGTTCCTTGGGTGTATGTCGCATTATTTACAGTTTCGCTGCTATACCCCTTAACTCTATTCTTTTAGCTTTTCGTTCAGGCACCTTAGCCCTAACATCAAAGCCCAAAGCTTGGTCGCCCTGGAAAGCCCTAAACCCTAAAGCCCTA